AACGATCTCTAGAAAGAGGCTCTGGGCAGGTGCCCCGGCCTTGGACACTCAGTGTCAATTTGCTGTGGTGACTTCAGCAGGGTATAATGACACTGAGTCAACCATTTTCTCCAGAGGAACTGATCTCTGCTACCTAAAGAACAGTTGTAATTTTGAGTGATCTCCAGCCCTCACCTGGAGATTGGTAATAATGGTTCCCCAGAAGGGAATGGTTGGTTTGGAGAGTGTAGTCTATGGCTTTGTACCTGTCCGAGGTCCCACACCTCCTGAAACCTCACCCTCTCCAGGCTCCATCCCTCACATCTCCAGGAATTTCCCACCTGGAGTTGGCAACTCTATCTCCTTCCCAGCCAATCATCAACCTACCTTTATTTTCCCCCCACTCTTCAGCTTTCCACCCCCCACCTACCCCCTCACTCTTCAGCTTTCCACCCCCCACATACCTGCAGCCTCACCCGTGCTCTGAAGCCCTGACTGCTACGTCACATTGGCTGTCATACGGGGGCCACCTCAGCAGCATATAAGGATACAGAGCCCACCATTTTCTCCAGGGGAACTGATCTCTGCCATCTGGAAAGTAGTTGTAATTCTGAGTGATCTCCAGCCCTCACCTGGAGATTGGACACATTTTACCTCAGAACAGCAAACTGTTTAGAATGCTAGAGGCAAAAGCCAATCAGGTCGCATATGCAAACGACCTCTGTGTTCTGAGGCAAAGGCCAATGAGGCTGCATATGCAAATAACCTCTGTGTTCTGACTGGCTATGGGGGGCGGGGAGAAACAGCAAACTGTTTAGAATGTTGGAGGCGAGATTCAAGCAATGCAGCCAGTGGATAGGGACAGATTCTGAGTGACACACCAGGGCATCAACCAATTCCGGAGCGTGTGGAATGTTCTAGAGAAGTGCCACCACCATTCGGCTTTTATATATAAGGGAGATTGGGAAAAGTCTAAGTTAACGCCCACACAAAGGGCTTAATTCATTGGTGTGATACTAGACTCTACTGTGGGCAAGGGTTTTCTGCCTCTGGAACAAGTAGAAACCATCAGGTCACTTACAGAATGGTTCCTAACTCACCAGTTCCAATCAGCCTGAGAGATCCTTCATTTGTTGGAATTTATGGCATCTACCACCGCAGTTTTACCGCAGGCCAGACTGCAGATGAGACCTTTACAATTGTGGTTTTTGGGGGTATATAAACCTCTTTCCCATCCCCTCTGGCACAGGTTCTTCATCCTGAGGGGGGTCCTGGCTCATCTCAGCTGGTGGTCCTCTCTTTCCAATCGAACACAAGGTATCCCTTTTGTGGTGGTCCAGATTGATGTATTACCTAGCATGGACACTTCCCTCTTGGGCTGGGGGGCACATTGTGAAGGATCCAGGGTACCTAGTCTAGGGAGGGGGAAAAAGAGCATATTAATCTACTGGAACTCAGGACAGTACTTAATTCCCTTGCCAGTTTTGCAGGTATCTTACAAGATCGAGCTATTCTGCTACAAACGGACAATGCAGTTGCTATGTTTTATATAAACAAGCAAGGGAGCATGGGTGCCAGACATCTGTGCTGGCAAGCAGTACTGATATGGAAGACGGTCCTGCATTTCAATTTCTCGATCCAGGCAGTACACATTCCAGGAGCACTCAGTGTTCAGGCCGACCACTTAAGTAGAGTGGAAACCATGTCTCATGAGTGGTCTCTCAGAGTTACCTGCAACCCATCTTTACACAATGGGGAGGGAGTCCCAGATCTAGACTTATTTGCCAACAAAGAAAATATGAAAGCAAACAGATTCTGCTCCCAGGCAGGTCAGGGGGTGGGGTCAGAAGGAGATGCATTTCAGGTCTCCCAGACAGGAACCCTAGTTTACACATTTCCACCTCTCCTTCTGATCAGAGTCCTTGCGAAAGCCAGAAAGGACCATGCAGAGATTATATTGATGGCTTCCTTTTGGCCCAGACAAGTCTGGTTTTGCAGCCTGATGGACTTAGCATGGAGTCACTTCATCCATCTTCCTGACCAACCCAACCTAATCAGCATTGGTCAGGTCCTACATAACAACCCAGGCAAGCTCCATCTGATGGCTTGGAGGATCAGGTTGGAGATCTGAACTTTTTGCATGGTGTTACCTACGTGCTACTAAATGCCAGAAAATCTTATGGATTCAACAAGAAAATCAACAAAATCTTATGGATTCAAATGGGAACAATTTTCACCATGGTGCACGGCTAAGGGTGTTCAGCCATTTACTCCTCCCCTGAGGGACATTCTTGAATATATTTTCTTCTTAAATAATAAAGGTCTTGCTTCCTCCTCTTTGAGAGTATATTTAGCAGTCATATCAGAATAAAGGTCTTTGAGAGTATATTTAGCAGTCATATCATGTTTCCACGTGGAGGTGGAGGACAGATCCGTAGTTTCCCACCCCCTGTCCAAGATGTTCCTTAAGGGCCTAGCTAATTTAATTCCATCCAGAGGTCCCATAGTTCCCCAGTGATCCCTTTCCCTGGCATTATGTGGTCTAATGAGAAAACCTTTTGAATCACTAGTGACTTGTTCCTTAACTTACCTGTCTTGTAAAGATAGTTTTTTGGTGGCTGCGGGGGTCATCTCATGGGTTAGGGTTATTGTACTTGGTCTGGATTCGGCTTTTGTTCCCAAAATCGTTTCCAGATTTCATTTATCTCAAGACATTATTAGGCCTATATTTTGTCCCTCTCCTTCATCTGAAGGGGGACATAGATTGCACTCCTTGGATGTTAAATGGGCATTGTTATTTTTATCTGAAAAGAACAATTGAATTCTGGCAAGGGGGGTGTCTTTATTTGTATGTTTTGCAGGACCTAACAGAGGGAAGAAAGTATCCCCACCAGACGTTGTCCAGGTGGATTAAACAGTGCTACGAATTGACAAGAGCTCCCTGCCCTTTAGATATTTGAGCACACTTGACCAGAGCACTGTCAACATCAATAGCTCTCGAGTGGAGTACCTCTGGTGGAGATATGTCATGCTGCAACCTATCATTGGAAGATACTTTCATCTGGCATTATGCATTTTTTTCCTTTTTTAAAAAAAGTTTTTAATTTTTTATTGTTTCCTTTTTGGGGGGCATTATGCATTTGATATGCAGGCCAGAGTTTGGCATTATGCATTTGATATGCAGGCCAGAAGTGAGACCCATTTGGGGAAGGCGGCACTTCAGTCTTTATTCAAATAGTTGAGCATGCCCTGCTGCCTTTCTAGCAGCTTGCTAGAATCCCCATGTGGAACTGCACAGAAGTTTGACGATGAAAACGGGCTTGCTTACCTGTAACTGTACAGTTACACATACCCTCTGTATCTTCTGTACAGTTACACATACCCTCCCTCCTACCCTGCTGCATGCTCGGCAGCATTCTAGATGGGGTTGCACTTCCCTTTTAAGGAACAGGTCTGTACTTTGGGAGTGCTCTTGGACCCAGGACTGTTGCTAGATAAAACAGGTGGCAACTTTGGCCAGGAGTTCCTTTTACCAACTTAAGCTGGTTAGCTAACTGTGGAAAGAAAAGTTCTGGCCAGTGTGGTGTATGCCCTAGTTACATCTCGATTAAATTACTGCAATGCACGCTACGTGAGGCTGCCCTTGAAAATTCTTCAGAAACTTCAGTGGGTACAGAATATTGCATCTAGGCTGTATACTGAAGTGAGCCATAGGAGGTGTATCACTCCAGTCTTGGCCCATCTACACTGACTCCCAATTTGTTTCCAGGCCCAATTAAACCCTTTAATACCATACAAAGTTTGGGATCAGCATATATGAAGAACTGCCTACTCCTATAAGTACTTATGTGGCCAGTACATTCATCTTCTGTGGCTCTGCTTCAGGTGCCCCTGCCTTCTGAGATTAGACAGGCAGCAACCTGAAAGAGGGCCTTTTTGGTCATGGCACCAAAACTATGGAATGCTCTCCCCAGGGAGATTAGTCTGTCCCCTTCTGTCACCATCTTCCACAAGTGAGTGAAGACTTTTTTTGTTTCATTGGAGTTCCCTCAGTGATTCCACCTTCCTGCCCCGTTTTTTAATAGCTGATTTGTGGTGGCCCTGATGAGGGCTGAAAGGCAGGGTATAAATTTTGCAAATAAATTGATAATCCTTATACATTTGCAACTAGAAGGACTAAGGTCTTGCCTTTTAAATAAATGTAAGCTGGGAATGACTACATGCAATAGCTTGTTATAACTCTAGTAATATACTTATGACCAATTTTTTTAAAGCCTGAAAAAAGGCAGCTGCCATGGAGTGCTACAGCAAGGGAGGTGTAGGATGAGGCATCTCATGTACTGCCCATTCTAAAATATTCTTTACTCAGAAGTCAGTCATATCTAGTTCAAAGGCAATACTTAAGCTGAGGATTTCAGCCTTTTAATGAATTTGGCTAAACTTTGTAAAACTCATCTAAGTTTGCAACTGGTATATGTTTTGTGATCAGGTGTTTGAAATACTTATATCAATTCAGTTTGTGACTTAAGACAAATAGAGCCTACCAGCCATGTAAGGAAGTTAGGGGACAGACAAACTTTCTGTTACTGCTGCGTGTTGTAACTGCAAAGACAGGTGTGTGCACATGTGCAACAAAAAACCTATCAAGTGACAGTATGTGGACTGGTGATCAGTGACCGGCTTAGCATGTTACAAGTTGGGCATGCAACCTGTAATCAATCCTACACAAATAAAGAATTGGAATTCTTCCCTCTCTTAAACATTTTTGTCTCTTCTGAGCCCTATTCCATAGAGGAGAGTGGTTTAAAAATCTGCAGCTGCGGTCACATACACACTAAATAATCCACTTTCAAAGCACTTTCCAAATGGATTTTGCAAGTTCACACAGTAAAAATCCAGTTGCAAAGTGCACTGAAAGTGGTTTATTTAGTGTGTGTGACTGCAGCCTAATTTAATCTAAACAAATAAATACACAAATGCCATTCCATTTTATTTTTATGCAGGTAGTCCTCCCCAAATTTTTTCAATGTCAGAGCTTCTGGAAGCAGCCAATGAACTTTCAAAAATGACCATAGCACATGAAATGGTAGTAAACCATGACTTCAGGTTGCAAGAGGTGAACTTACCAAACAGGTAGGTTTTGTTAATTTTTTCCATGCCCCAACCAGTTTCCAGTTATAAATAGAAGAAGAAGAAAAGGAGGAAGAAGAAGAGTTGGTTACGATCCCCTTCCCTTCGTCTCCCAACAGACACCCTGTGAGGTAGGTGGGGCTGAGAGAGATCTGAGAGGACTGCTCTTGAGAGAACAACTCTGAGAGAACTGTGACTGACCCAAGGACACCCAGTTAACCCAGCTGTCTGACCTGTTAGCTTTTTGATATATAGGAAGGAGGCCAAAATATTTTTGTATAAGTTTCATGTTTTCCTTTCTGAAGTTTTTGTCCTTGAGCAATGAGCAGCACTGATGAATATCTACTAAACCATTCTCCCCTTTCCATATACTTGAGCTTACATTCAGCTCATGTAAGATGTTTATGGCCATTTCCGCAGGGTCTGTAAAATGGAGCTGTTCCACCAGGCTTTTGGTTGAGGTGGCAGACGTTCAACCATTCTGGCTTCCCCTGTTTATGGCCCCTTTCTCAGTGCCCGCGGTCAGATAATATTACTGGGCACTGGAGTACCTATATTTACCTGGTATGAGGCATGGGGTTAGATGTTATTGTCTATTGTGCCATCAACTGTTTTATTGGTTTTACTGTTTTATTGTTTTATGGACTGCATGCTGTAAGCTGCCCTGAGCCCACTTGTGGGATAGGGCGGGGTATAAATTGAAATAATAATAATAATAATAATAATAATAATAATAATAGTAATAATAATATCATCCACAAAGGCCCAGGTTCATTGCTGCTGGGAAGTGAGTCTATTTCCTGCTTCCTTACAGCATTGTGGGATACAAATTGAAATAATAAATAAACAAACAAGATAATATGTAAATACTTTGCTATGGGAGTGGAAGCAATAGAGTTTCTTCTACTAGATGCTAATTTAGCATTTCTCAGCGCAAGAAATTTTCCTAACACAAGTTGTAAAATACATGCATGTTCTTCTGCAGTAGTATATGACTTTTATACATTTATTTTAAAGCAGAAATGGTTGGCTTTTCTGCATTGGCCTTTTTTGTTGTTGTTCTGGCCCCATTTCACTTCAGTTTATTCCCTGATTTCTGCACACATTTTTGTGTCTTTAGTTTTTGCTTCATTTTTGTTATATTTTCCCTAATTTTTTTACCCCAATTGTTTTTTGAGTTGCCTTTTTCCTTGCGTGTAATGTTTCTGTTGATTTTTATGTCCCACCTACTCTCACCCACCTCCAGCCCACTTTCAAAGGATTGGACTATTGTCATCATCAAACCACTCCCTCTCCTCTCCCTGCCCTGAAGATTAGTGGTTTCATTTTCTTTTTTTAAAAAATGGTGCTAAAATATCAATATACTATTGTAATTATAGGTTTATCATCTGTCTTCAGTGCAGCCCCACATTGGAACTGTGCTTGTGTACAGGCTGGCCGTGAATAGAATTTTTCTAGCTCTTCAGAACCAAAGGGAGGCTTTCCCCTCACTAAACCATCACATGCTACAAAGGAGAGCACACCCTTTTCTGCTGCTGCATGGATAGGATCATCTTAGTTCTGTTGCATTTAAAAGTCTTCGTTTTTCTTTGAGCATGCTTTTTGTATTTTCTCTGGATGTTTTCGAAACCTTCATTTTTTTGCAGATTGCCGATTCCCATGGCTTGCTCTTCAAGGGATTCCTCCCTGTGGGTGAGGTGGCTTTTGTCTGCCTACCCCACACTCTGGGCTTCTCCTTAGCTGTTTTTCCCACTGCGGAGTTTAGCAATCTACTATGGCTACCAAAGCTCTCTTTAAAAAAATATACCCAGTGTGCAATCAAAATGACCCATAGCGATAAGTACGACTTGTGCCTCACGTGCTTGGGATTTGCACAACATGGCCACATGCAAAATTTATCAGGCCTTCATTCCAAAGGTGCATTCTGACAGAGTGTTCCATCTAAATTAGGAAAAGACCCTAATCTCATCAGAACTTCCAAAAGCACTCTCCTTAGTACAGTCAGCACTATTGGTTTCGGTACCGAAGCCCCGTTCCAGCCCACCATCAGTACTCTCAGTTCTCATGATCCCAATAGGGGACAAACCTCACCCACATCCAAAGAGCAGCATCTATGGCCCCAGCCTCGGAATTGAGATGCCCTCATTTACCATTGCCTGCTTTCTCGATTCCAGCCCGCAGTTCTTTGGAACCGCCATCAAAGAAGACCATACATAAGGAAAAGACTGTCTCTGCCTCTAAACACCAGAAGCATCTGTCGTCCCCTCCAATAGCATTTTCTGAGGAGCCAGACATTATTTTGGTACTCTCTTGTACCCTGTTGCTTCACTTCAACTCACCTGACAGGTCGCTTTCTGAGAGGGAAGAAGAGCAGGTCAGCCTTCCTGGTGGAGAACTTATACTTCCCTAATCAGAACTGACCATGCCTGTCTCATGCCTGTCAGATTTTTACACACAATGACCCCTTCTTGGGCCTTCCATTCTGTGATACAGACACTACTCTGGGGATTCAAGACATCAAGAGATCCATTTTCCCTTTATGTCCCTGGAGTCTGCTGACCCTGAACCTGAAGACGAGGGGACATTGGCATCGTGCTATAGTTCCAAGGGCCACTCAGAACCCTCCCCAGATGACAGGGTTGGGGACCTCATCCCCATTTCCCTGAATTAGGACCTTCGCCTGTATGGTGAGCAAATGTTGAGAATGGCCAAGGCATTGGACACTGATGTCACCACGACTGATAATAAACCAAAAGGCAAAATCCTGAGTTATCTTTACCTGAAATCTCCAGGTATTCCTGGTCTTAAAGGGCCTTAGCTGACTGTAGAGCCCCAGTTTGGCAAAAGCTGGCATCCACACCAGCCACCTCCCACAGGGTGGAAAACAAGTACAAAACAAAGCAGGATTCCTGTGACTTCTTATCCACTCACCTGCCACTTTCTTCCATCATCACCAAAGAGATGCATATGCATCAAAGACAGGGTGAGCATCTCATAGAGAGAGTCGATGCCTGGACTCTCTGGGACATAAAATACATTCTTCAGCAGCTCTGAACTTTAGGATCTCAAATTATCAGGCCATTATGGGGGTCTATCAGCTCTTCCTGTGGGAGAAACTGTCACTTTACCTCAATATTTTTCCTGAAGAGCCTCAATCACTGGCCAAGCCGATCCAGTCCAAGGCCATAAAGCTCTCCAAACAGGAAATAAATGCTGGTAGGTAAGCTGCAGATATATCTGTGAGATCTATGACATCAGGCATTGTTTTGAGAAGGCCCTCTTGGCTGTGCATGATGGTCCCTCATGCTGGAAATGCGCTGCAGAGTAGAAGATCTCCCTTTCAAGGGTTTGAGCCTTCTTTCACAGACCACTGGTGAGTTCCTTTCTATGATTAAAAAGAACAGACAAACTGCCATATCCTTTGGGGTCCACATCAGTGCTTCACCCTGCACGAGCAGGGCTTTGCAGCCCCCTTATATTGTGGCCAAAGACATTAACAACATATCCTCATCACAGTATCAATCTCCTCTCTTCCAGAAAAGAAAGAGTGCTACACGGCTTAGGTCTGGAGGCCAAAAAGCCCCTCAGAGAGATTAGAGTCAACAGTTGTTGTGACCAGTTTCCAGAAGAAGGTCCCTGTTTCAGGGATAGGCTAGCCTGCTTTTATGTGGAATGGCAAACTGTCTGCTTTGATAGTTGGGTCCTGACTATAGTTCATAGTGGGTTTTTTTTAGAATTTACCTCATCGCCTTCTTGTCTCCCTGCTTTGACAGCAGTTGACAACCCATATCCTGAGCAGCTCCAGCTTCAGTGTCATGCCTGCCCCTGACGTGGCTGCAGAAGCAGAACCTGACAGCCAGGAACAGGTGGACTTGGCACCTTTAACTGAGGAAAATGTTAGTCCTGAGGAGGATAGCACTCCCCAGGAGACACCTGAGTCTGATCAGGCACTGCCTGGCCCAAGTGCATCACCACCCGACTCTCCCCCACCTGTTAACCGGCTCAGAAACCAAAGACGGCAGGAGCTGAATGAGAGACGGAAGGCTGCACGCATGTGTGGTCGACGCTCATTCAGTCCTGAGTTTTGACAGCAGCCTGGACCTTGTTTCAAGGAGCTAATGAGCTAATGAGCCAGCACGCTATTTCAGCAGACCTGGTGCTTTAAGCAATTCGTGCTGGCAACTTCGTTGACAGGACCAGGCGCTCTGTGCGACCTTGCTCCGGATCCTTTGACCTCTTGGCAGTTTGTCACTTGGCTTCGGAACTCTGGCTTCTTGACCCTCGGCATCGTGTTTGACTACGGCTTCGGCTCTGTGTTTATCTGACTTCACCTGATTTGTGGACTCTGACCTCCGGTACGTTTGACCCTGGCTGTGTGAACGGTTTAGGACTTGTTTAAACGTTTTGCTGACTGAACTCTTGGCTGAATCCCGGACTGGCTATCGGACTTGCTTTGATTAACCTGCGCTCCCTGGCCCTGCCGTGACATTCAGGAGCTCTTGGGAAAGGAAGCAGTTGAAAGAGTTCCCATGGGTCTCCAGTCATGGGGTTTTCATTCAAGATTTTTCCTCATTGACAAAAAAGATGGAAGTCATAGATCCATCCTTGATTTAAGGAAATTAAATAAGTTTGTGAAGATGTCTGAATTCAGACTGGTCTTTCTTTTATCTGTTGTTGAGTTTCTTACACCTAATTCTTACTTTGTGGTGCTAGACCTTAAAGATGCCTGTTTTCACATTGCAATTCATCCTTCACATAGGAAGTACCTTCAATTCAGGTACACCTCTGGGGGTTTCCAGTATCCTGCCCTCCTGTTTGGCCTGACTACGACTCCTAGAGTCTTCACCAAGTGAATGGCAATGATTGTCGCCCACCTGAGAACACAGGGCTGCACGGCTTTCCCCTGTTTCGATGACTGGCTCATTGTTGCATCCCCTAGGGAGCTTCTAAGGGCTCATGTGAACTTGGTTCTTTTCACTTGTCTAATATTAGGGCCGATAGTTAATAAGGATAAATCCTGCTTGGAGCCCTCCCACCTGATTTAGTTTATTAGGGCTTCTCTTGACTGTATGCGTAATAAGGTCTTCTTGCCTTGAGATAGGGACAGGTCCATTAAAACTTTTTGTGGAAAAGGTGGCAATCTATTAGGTCCATCAGACCTGCTTGGCCTGATGGCTTCCACCATGGCTGTTATACCCCTAGCTAAACTACATATGTGTGACTTACAAAAGTGGTTCATTAAGAGATTTGACCCTGCTAGATATGCCCTGGGCTATCATTTCTCTATTCCCAGGTCAGTTTTTAGATCTTTACACTGGCGTATGGAATACGTCAACCTTTTCATGGGGGTTGGGTTCAGTTATTAGGTTGCGCCGACCACCCTAATTGCAGACACATCCCTGACAGGTTGGCCCATTGCAAAGGTTTTTCTGTACAGGGTAGGTGGTCGTTGCTGAGTAAAGGGCTTTACATTAACATCCTTGAATTGTGTGCAGTTGGATTTACCCTGACCTCTCTCGCAGATATCTTCAAGGGTAAGAGAGTGCTAGTTCAGACAGACAACACAACCACTATGTATGATTTGAACAAAGAGGGAGGCACAGGGTCACAGAGGCTGTGCATGGAGGCTGTTGCAGTCTGGACTGTGGCTGTCCAGAACCAGATTTCCCTCAGAGCTATCTACATAGCAGGGGCTCTCAGCTCTTACTGCCAACAGGTTAAGCAGAACCCACCTTTCCAACCACAAATAGTCCATCCAAACAAAGTTACCTCACAGGGTGTCTGTTGTGGGGAGGGGAAGGGAAAGGAGTTTGTAAGCCACTCTGAGACTCCAAGTGAAGGGTGGGGTATAAATCCAATTTCCTCCTCCTCCAAGACGTGGAGAGGGGTTCCCCAAGTGGGCCTGAATTTTTGCTCTCTAGCAGGCAGTGACCCTGCCTCATTGGAGGATGCATTCCAAATTTCCTGAACAGGTGGTCTGAACAGGGTCTTAGGGAAGCTATTAGCGGGAAAATTGGATAGCATCCTGATAGTGCTCTTTTTGGCCATGCCAGATTTGGTTTTTGAAGCTTCTTCATCAGACTAGATCACCCTTCACCCCCACTCTGGACTTACTGACACAGGGCCCCCTTCTACATCACAACATTGGCTCCCTACACCTTACGGCATGGAGGATATGACCCCAGGGCTCCAGTTCTCCCCAGACGTTTATGACATACTAGTCCAGACTAGAAAACTCTCAACTGAACTAGGTATTCCTATTCTAGGAAATTCCCTCAATTTGAGGATTGGGCTAACTCAAGGGATGTGTCACTGCTCACTTGATCTTTACCTTTAGTATTAGAGTACTTGCTCTCTCTGGCACACAGAGGTTTCCCTGTGTCATCAGCCACGGTGCACCTTGACCGCCATTTCAGTGTACCATGATATTGTGGAGGGTTTTTCTCTGTTCTCCCATAAACTGTCTCAATTTTTTTTCTTAAGGCTTTGGTTAATGTGTTTCCTCCTGTTACCTCCATTGTTCCACAGTGATCCCTTTCTCTAGTTCTAATGTAGCTTATGGGCCCCCCTTTTTAACCTTCAGCTTCTCGCCCCTTGGTATGCTTACCAGAAAGGTAGCGTTTTTGGTGGCAGACACCTCTGCCAGGAGGATGAGTGAACTGGTGGCCCTTAGAGTAGAGCCCTCATTCCTGAAGGTTTTTAATGAGAGGTTTGTCCTCCACCCTTGTTTGGAGTTCCTACTGAAGGTGGTTTCAGAGTTTCATCTGTCCCAGGAAGTGGTTTTACCTGTATTTTTTCCCTCCCTGTCCTACAAAGCCAAAAAGGCCCTTCATACTTTAGAAAGGATTCAGAGGTCAGTAAAGCAGTTCTGCCGTTGCTTTTTCAGTGAGAGCATCACCCCCTCCTCGTAGTGAGTAGCTTGCTAAAATCCCAATGTGGTGCTGCACTGAAGATTGAAGATGAAAATAGAGTTGCACTTACCTGTAACTTGTTCATCAGCATCTTCTGTGCAGACACACATTCCCTCCCTCCTACCCTACTGTGAGCTGTCATAGATATATATTTACATTTCCCCCTACTTCTAGGTGACCAAGAGAGTGTCTCTTTGACTCTTGCTCCTTTGTCATTGTGGGAGTTTGCAGTGGTCAGGCAGGAACTGAGGGTAAGGGTGTGTGTGCTCTCTGGAGCATGTGATGGTTTAGGTGGGAAAAAGCCATTGCATCATCTCTGGAGGTGAGGGGTGCCTCTCTTCAGTTCCTAAGAGCTAGAAAAATTCTGTCTGTGGCCAGCCTGCATGCAGGCGCAGTCCCAGTGTGTGTCTGCACAGAAGATGTTGATGAACAACAGTTACAGGTAACTGCAAATCTGTTTCCTACGAGTTCTCTAAATTCCCAGCTTTCTTTTTTTTTTAAAGTAAGTCTATCCTCTTCCCTTGCGAAGATATGCCCCTTTCCTTATATCTTCATGCAGGGAAGGACTAGAGACCTACTTTCTTTCAAAATGAAAGCTGGGAGTTCAGAGAACCTGCTTAACTTACCATTACAATGGTATATTATCAATATTTTAGTATCTTTTAAAATGCAGCCTTTGGTCTTGAGGGCTACACCAGGAAGATATCCTGAGCCATGAATGCCACTGCCACAGGCAGCACTGAATTAGCAACTCCTGTGGCTTGTTCTCTGTCTGACTTTAGCTGTAATGCTTCCATACAAGAATTTTGATGTGCATAGAACATAGCAACCCCCCAAATTAAAGGGGAATGCCCATATGTCATTGTGCTCATTCTAGAGAAGAAAACTGTCTGCCTCTGGATGGGTTCTAAAAACACTCCCTGCCATGGCAGCAACAGAATATGTCTACACCCCTTCTCTGATTTCTTTTTGCTGCTACCCCCTCTCTCCTCTAACCCTTTTCCCCAGTTGAGCCTGTTCAAAAGTACAAATGTGATGGAAGTTTTGCCATGACCCCTCATGGCCCAGATCTTCCATAGTATAGCTCATCAGGGGAAGCTCATCAGAGATGAAGAAGATGGTGCATGGCACCAGTTCGAAAGGTAAGCTCCTCCCTTCAGTGGGGTGCTATCTTGCTTTCAGCTATCTTACAGTTCCCTTTTTAAACAGGAGAGAAACAGGTTTTCCTCTGGATTAAAGGCAAAAGCCCTGGGAATGCCAAGACCACGCTCAGAATGAGCACAACATCATGTGGATGTTCCTCTTATATTGGGTGGGGGAGACTTCGTGCTTTTCATGTGAGAAAAAAAATCCTGTGTGAAAGCAGCCAGAGAACTGGAGGGTGTCTTCAGGTGAAGCATTTGTGTAGATACTCCAGTCTCCACCCATGGCCACCCAATGTATTTTATCACCAATCTTGGGTAGTGTTTCAGACTTTCCTATGCCAAATAAACTATTATTTCTTTTAAATAGCACGGCGGAAAACATAGTTGAACTTGTGGCAAAGCTTTTACTGGCTGCTGCTTCTATATATAGTAAAATTTTGTAAATGCTCAATGCAGGGTATCTTTTAACAGAAATTGTATTTTATGTAGAATCTGAATTTTATTTCCCAGATACTATGTTTTTATTTCTGTGAAATGCCAATAAAGGAATTGCTGTGTGTGTGTGACCCATAGCCACCGTGGGAAAGGGGTGAAGCTAAGGGCCAAACTAGATGCAGCATTCCATTTTAGGCTTTAAAATGGTAGCAGCAGCCCCATGGCAGACATGAAAACACCATCACACCTAGTTTGGGCCTTGACTTTATTTTCAAAATGCCAGCTATTCCTCCTGTGTTATCATTTAATGGGCTTTTTTTCATTTTTTCCTGCCAAGCCACAGTGTGGGCTAAGTGGAGAAAGGGAAAAGTGAGGGAAGGGGAGGGTCCTAGCCAGTGTTTCATCTAAGATGAGTTAGTGTGAGCTAGCTCACAGGTTTTTAGCCTCTGGCTCGCACATTTTTGTCTTAGCTCAGGAAGGATGGCTCCAGAGCAAACTAATTTATGCAGTAGCCAAGTCACTCACTCACAACTTTAATGGCAGTAGCTCACAAAGCAGAATTTTTGCTCATAAGAGTCCACAGCTTAGAGGAAGCATTGGTACTAGCCATTGTGGGGTAGTTCATAGCCATATCTACCTTTTTGCACATGTGCAATAGAGGAAAAGAGAAGAAACGGGGGCAGCATTCATGAGAACGGGGAGAAGTGGATGCTATTTCTGCCCACTCCCATACCTGTTGCTTCTACTGCTGCAGTGGGTGTGCATTTTCACAGCCTTGTTTGGAAACAGTCTCAGAAAGTTAGTAGTTAGAGCATATTGCTTTCGTGATTGGGAAAGGTTTTAATACAATTCAAACATAAATACTTAGAGATACTATATGATTTTTTCTGTTACAAACTATGTAAAAAATAATAGCAACTGCTTTTGATCCACTACAGTTTGGAAAGCAGAGTGAAGGAGGCAATGCACAAAGCTTTTTGGGACAGCCTGAAAGAACAGCTCTCCAAAACACCACCAGACTATTCCCATGCTATCAGACTAATCCAAGAAATTAAAGAGGTAAATTATAATGGGGTAAAATGTCATTACTTGTTCTTTACCCCTTGAGTGTGTGAAAAGTACATCATTCTCCTTTAGTGGGGGCAACCGTGGAAGGGTTAATTCTCCCATTCACTCTGCAGGACACTGCTGTGTAGTTTGAGCCTTTCTAGTTCCTGTGTGGGAAGTTTCCTAAGCCATATCCTGTCTTGTCTGTGTCATGCCAACAGGATATTTTTTGAGCTCCTGGTCTTTTCAGGCACTCGCAAGCTCTTTTCTTCTCCCCTCCCCTGCCTCAACCAGCTAGGGAGTGAACTGACAGTATCTAAGGTGGCTTTTTAAAAAGACTGCTACCTTTGCAGCTGCCTCACAGCTAGTTTCTGATGTTCCTGGATGTATAGCAGGAAATCCCTCAGAGGACCCTGGAAAGAACTGCGGCAGGACAAGTTTCCAGTGGCTCCACCATTGCCACTAGCCCAGTTCTCCTTGCCCCTAATCCTTAATGTGGCTTCTGATATTTCTGATTTTATATCCTACTTTTCTCCCCAAAAGGACAAAAAGCAGCAAAACAATCCTCAGCAAAGATGGCTCCTAATCCCTTCATACATCTGTATTAAGCAGACAGTGATTCAGGACATAAAATTAGACCTTATTCTAATGCCAAAATGTGAGAAGACGTATAATGGGTGGTGGAGGCTCCATCTTCTCACATCCTCTTCCACTCAGGCCAGCCTAGTTAGGCTCAAACGGGGGAGAGACTCTGGAAACCAGCCACACTTAACTTTTACTCCTGGCTGGAAATTGACTGACTATGCACTTTGTAAGAGTTACACGGATTTCCAGGCTGAAGAAACATCCAGTAATGGATCTGCTACTAATATTCTATAAGGGTTATTCTCAGATGTGGAAAACCTGACATAGTCTAAAATTATTATTCTGATGCAGAGCTGCTGGTAGTACAAATAAATACTATTTCTCTGTAAGGAACCTACCTTCTAAGTCCTTGTCTTCTTTCTATAGTTAAGTGCCTACCTCATCTTCGTGGTCTCTGTGCATCACACCTCTGGGATATAGTGCACCTGCGCCAACCCCAACCAGTAAACTTGAAAGCTAAACAGATTTTTGAGCCCATTCCCTGAGGCACACTCAGAAGGCTCCACTGCACATTATAGGGAGGGGCATGATGAGCCTGCCAATTTTCTTCTGACCGCCGCGCTGTTAGGATCTCCCTTGCTCCAGTCAGTAACTTTACTTCTTTCTGGCCTTCTCAGCCTCCTTTCTCTCTTTGGATTCTTCATAACTTCATCCTGTGGATTCGGTAGACTATCTACCAAAGGGTTCAGCCCCCATGGGCCACCCTTCTCCCAAGCTTCCTCCTCCTGGCTTATGGCCAAATGGTGGGGCTTTTTAAAGCAGTGCTTGAAGTGTGGCAGCAAAATTGCACCCCCTGACAGACACTCCCTTTGCCTTCTGTGCCTCAGGGAAACGCAACAGGTTGACTCCTGTTCACATTGCTCAAAGTTCTCGAGACGGATGTGGAAAAACAGGGCTGCCAGGCTGCGCACCACACTTTTGGAGTTAGCACTCTCCGCCTATGGCGTTATCCCAAGACACCTCGGGCCACACCTCAATGTCAACCCCAGCTTCGGCATCGACAGCCGCATTGTCTCCGACACCAGTGCCCTCCAATGTCAACTGACCGGTGCTCAAACGCCCAGTCCCAACGTCGAAGTCTGAACCCCATTCTCCTGCCAAGAAATGCAGGGAGGGTAAGGACCCTAAATCGGTCAAGCAGAAGAAGCATAAGAGAGACACTGCAGAACCTAAGGCTTCACTAATCAAGGTTCCATTGATGCCTTGTCGCGTACAGGAACTCTTCTCTGTGCCCCCACTCAAACTGCTTGACTCTCCAGTTTACAGTCGAAAGCATGTCGGAGCATCTTCACCTGTATCATGCCCCCAACTCACAGATTCGGAGCACGGTATGGATTTAACTTAATAATCCTGATCCTCAAGTATTGAAAGTCTCCATACCGATTGAGGAGATTGGAGCCTTCCACCTCGCTTCCCTTGTCACCCTCACACCGACAATCGGGATTGACCATCGGGATCTCCACCTCTGCCTCCGGTCCTGTGGGACCAGTGTCAATGGCAATTCCTATATGGGGCTTTCCACTATCCTCTAGTATGCCTTGGCTCCCACCTCATATGCCAATGGATTGGGATTGACAATCTTCATCCTTCCACCTCTTTTGATACTGAGATCCCACTCTGACACCAGAGAAGCCGCTTCAGCGACCGCCAATACCGACGGGCAAGCAACACAGTCACAAACATGTACCTAAGGGAGTGGATCCCCTATTGGTACTGACGCCCCCAGTACTGAACATCCCCGCACCATCTCAGTTCTCGGAGCAGTCTGACCAGACCAACTCTTCCAGCACCTCAGAGCAGGGATCGGGTGACGAAGGTGTAGAGGGACCTGCGAATCCTTCTCCACCACAGAAGGTAACAGAGGATCTTCCTAGCTTCCCCTCTGAAGACTTAAAAGTCATATGGGGAGTTCATCAAGTGTATGGCCAACACTCTAACACTGTCCACTGTACAACCCCTGCCCACGGTCACTGATACAGTTTTTGACATTGTCCAGATGGACACTTCTACAGCTGTTGCCCTTCCTCAATTCTGCTATGGGTCGTGAAGGCCCCTTGGCCTCATCCAGCCTCTACACCCATTTCTAGTTGCAGACTCAAACACATGTATAAAGTCCAAGAAACAGGAGCTGAATTCCTGTTTACACATCCTAAACCGAACTCCATGGTGGTCACTTCATCTTCCAAAGGTAGACGATCACATTCTGCACCCCCTGACAAGGAAGGAAAAAAGTTGGACTCCTTCAGAAGGAAGTTTTATTCTGCTGGCACCTTGGGCATCAAAACTTCAAATTACGCAGCCTGTATGGGCAGGTACCAATATGCCCTCTAGGAACAACTCACTGAGTATATTACATCTCTCCCTGACAATATCAACCATCAGGCCAGACAGATTCAAAAAGAAGGGATGCTGCTGGCTAGACACACCAACTAAATTCAGCCAAACACACCCTAGTCATGTCAGCCAAGTTTACTTCAGCTATTGCTCTCCATTGTCATGCATGGCTGAGATCCACTACTTTGCAGTATGATACAAAATCATATGTGGAAGATCTTCCCTTTGAAGGGGAGGGTCTCTTCAGCTCCACTATGGACACTGTTCTCCAAGATCTGGACAAAAATATTAAAACATCTCGCAATTTAGGAGTATCCTCATCCTCCAGACAGGGTAAATCCAAACCCTGGAACAAATCCTGGTCTTGCTGGTCCTTCCACAAGTCGTCCCCTGAAATGCAATGGCAGCAAAGGTCTCCTCTTACACCTTCTTGCTCGTATGAATCCAAACCTAGATTCCCTCCTGCCACCCAATCTAGGGCCCAAACTTCCAAGGGGCCCAAACTGGGTCTTTGACTCAGGACCTCTACATCTACTACCAGGACCCACCCACCTCCATCCCTACCTTTCTGCCTGGAGGCAGATCATGTCAGACAGATGGGTCCTTTCCGTCATTTCAGAAGGGTATTTAATAGAGTTTGTCCATATTTTGACAGCATCAGTTTTCGCCTCCACTCCTCCATCGGCCACTCTTCTAGAAAAAGTGCAAAATCTGTTAAACAAGCCATAGAAACTGTCCCCCCCCCAGCAACCACCACCTTGGTTTTTATTCCTGTTATTTTACAGTCCCCAAGAAGGATGGGGGCCTCTGCCCCATTATGGATCTCAGAGAACTGAATCATTTCATCTGCAAAAAGTTATGGATGACATTGTTGCAGAATATACTTCCACTGTTAGAACACAACACTTGGATGGTGACCCTAGATCTACAGGACCCCTAGTTCCATGTAACGATACACCACAGTCACAGGCAGTTTCTCTGGTTCACCGTAGGGGAGCAGCATTATCAGTACAAAGCCCTCCCCTTCGGATTGTCCACGGCTCCTCATGTATTTACAAAGATGATGGTTGTGATTGCTGCCCACCTGTGTATGCAAGGGATACAGATCTTCCCATATACAGATGACTGGTTGTCAGTGGCAAACTCCAGATTCACTCTCCTGCAGCACATAGACTCGACTCTGGCAGTGCTGCACTCCCTGGGGCTGTGCGTGAACGGCAAAAAGTCTGCTCAACCCCTCTATGAGAGTTCAGTTTATAGGGGTGATTCTGGACTGTCTAGTTTGCAAAGCCTTCCTCCCCCCCAAAAGGGCAGAAGACATCATTCGTCTCATTTAACAAATTCAAAAGAATGATGTGTCAGCCTGGCAACTTCAACTCCTTTTGGGTATGATGGCTGCCACTACTGCAGTGATCGTGTTTGCCAAACTCCACATGAGACCTCTGCAACTTTGGTTCCTGAGATGGTTCAACCCTCAACGTCAGTCTCAGTCTCTACGCTTCCTCCTTCCTCCTCACATCCTGGCATCTTTGGAATGGTGGGAGGATTGTTGGAACCTGCTAGAAGGTGCACCCTTCCACCCACCTGCTATGTCCCTGACTATAATAATGGATGCATCTCTGTGGGATTGGGGTGCACATCTCAAAGGACTGTTCATGGGCTCCAGCTGGGAAGTTCACCTGTTACACCAGCACATCAATTTCTTGGAACTTCTGGCTGTCAAGTACGCCCTCCAATCCTTCTATCACTTTGTGTCTCATCATACAGTCACAATCCTTACGGACAACACAACCGCCTTGTGCTATATCAGTCACCAGGGCGGCAGAGTGCAAGCTGACTCTGGAGATTTGGGATGAGTGTCAGGCCAGGAATGTCTTCCTGGTTGCAGCTCACCATCACTGCAGATTTCCTGAGCAGGGGAGGAGCGTCGCTGCACAAGTGGGAGCTCAATTGGAAGTATCTCCAATCCATATTTGAGGCATGGGGTCATCTTTTGGTGGAGTAGACCCTCTCTCACTAGGGGATGGCCTCCT